TGAAGACCAGGGTGTTATACCCCCTTCCTGGCCAGACCATTTTTCAGTATTCAGTGCTGTGGTACTTTGACTGACATTTATTCCTTCATGCAATGCTGTACCGCAATTGTACACCATTTTTTGGGGACACATAGAGCTTTCTTTTTGTTGTATTTAACCACTGGGGTTTTTATTTTTTACTATATAACAAAAAAAGTATTCTAAATTTTTGGAGGACAAAAACATGTTTCCCTTTGAAATGTTATGGAACTTTTATTAATCACCCAAATTTTTTTGGTAAAATATAAAAGATGGGGTCACGTCGGGTAAATAGACACCCAACATGCCAAGCCTTAAAATTGTGTGTGCCTGCAAAATTGCAGAAAACGACCAGCCCCTAAATTGGCCATAGGCGATGCTTTAAAAGCTTTTACTGCTCATAAGTTTAGTGTTTTCAGTAATTAATGGCCCTAACATTATTGCTCTCACTCCGACGTACACAGCGATATGTAACATGTGCAGCACTAGAGCTGCAGCTAACGATTATTTTCAAAATCGATTCGTTAGCCGATTATTAAGTTCGATTAATCGGTTAATCAGATAAACAATGAAATACATTTTAAAAAATGGCTCCAGCGATGGACTACTAGTTTGTATTGAGATTGTAGTCCATCACAGGAGCAAGTGTGGAGCGGTGGAAGTAAAAAAGTAAAAAAATAGTGTGGTGTGCAATATAGTGAAATGGAAAGTGTAAAATTATACAGCAATGAATGCAGAATGGCACCGGCTATAGAGGACTACAAATCCCAGCAATAGTACATTATAGCTGGCGGTATTCTGCATCGCACTGTATAATGTACTGTTGCTGGGTTTTGTAGTCCTCTATAGCTAGTGGTATTCCGCATTGCGATGTATAATGTATTGCTGGGATTTGTAGTCCTCTATACAGCGCAGTGCAGAATATCACCAACTATAGAGGAGTACAACAAATCCCAGCAATACATTATACATACAGTGTTGCTGGGATTTTTAGTCCTCTATAGCTGATGGTATAATATACAGTACAATGTACCATCAGCTATAGAGGAATACAACTTCCACTATCCCAGCAATACATTTTAGAGCACCATGTGGGGGGGAGTGCAGGCTTACCTGAGCAGTCTTCCAGCAACTTGCTTGAGATCGGACCTGTCCCTCACACCTGCTCCTCCTTACTACATCTCCCCGCGCACCTGTGCCGATCGTGGATGTGGGCGGGTAGTGAGTGTGAGGCGGGAAGGAGGTGCGGCGTGTAGAGCGTGGATGCGGGCGGGCGGGCCTGGCAGCGGCGAGTGTGAGGTGGGGAATAGTGCGACGTGCAGCATGTGGGAAGCCGTGAACAGGGCCAACTGATCGGAAGCCGATTAATCGATTATTGAAAAAGTTGACAACTTTATCAATAATCGATTATAATCGATTATGTCGATTAGTTGTTGCAGCCCTATGCAGCACAATAGGTGGAATCATCGTTTTCGCATGTTGGTGCACCCACTTTCTGCATTCAGGGACAGGAGAGGAGATCAAAGGGAGATCAAGTACTGAGCTCCCTTTGATCTCCACTGACAGTCGCAGCCGCCCCAGGGACAGCGGACCTCAGGACCGGCGGCAGCGACTGCGTGGCTTCACATAGACTGACCCAGCTATTTATTCTTCATAGAACTTAACGTACCCTGGAGTTCCATTTCAAAACAGGTCTTAGAAGTGCCTTCAAATGCCCCAAGTGCAGGATATAACCAGGTTCATTGATCCATATTTCATAGTGGTGTCCTAAACTGGTTCGGTATTGACAAGCAGTCCTAAAGGTTTTATGTTCCATTTTTTATGGTCCAGATCACCTTTTCTCCAATGGCTTGTTTACTTGGAGTTTTTGACTCTAACTGGGACAACTGCACTGTGACTGCTGTTTCTAGGGCCCTGTTTGCAGCACGCAGAGTTCTCATACTTAATTGGATATCCCCTACTATACCATCCATCAGATGTTGATACAGTGTTATTAAGTTTCAAAGTTCAAAAAGGTAACTGCAACTGAGGACCGGTAGAGAAAAGGCACACCGAGAATGTGCTGTCACTATCCACTGTAATTTGGGCCACAGCCGACATATATACATCACAAAAGGCCTGGAAGAGATATTGCAGAGCCCAATGCCAGAAAAACACATACAGGTATATTTTATTTAAAAAAATAGTTTAACTTATATAAGAGGTAAACAGAAGCTAGGCACTGGAATATTGTCCATGTTCTGAACTTATGGAGCACCATCTTAGAAAGGCAGCATACAACCAGTGTAATAGGTGTCCTAATGCAGGGCCCCAAAATACAAGATGCATTGCCATGCACACCTCTTAGAAGCATCACAGAATAATAACTGCTCTGCAGTAAACTGACAGATTTATTATCCTAGTTAATGTTTCATTCTAATGCCTTCATAAAGAGAATGTTCTCCTAATTGAGCCGGTCTCTAAACTGTCTCAAACTGTTTCATGTTTGAAGGGGAACCTCATGGGGGACAGCTGAGTAGCCCTGAAGTGCTTACATAAGTTGTTTTAGAATAGTGAGCGCTATGGGTCTCCTGGAGTGAAGTGAGAATCCAACAATAAGTGGTATAAAAATATATATGAATATCTCTAAGCAAACATCTTATAATGTGAAATAAAAATTGCTGAAGTGATATGTGAATAAACAAACCAAAAATCAACAATGTAAATCGACTAATAAAATTGCTTAAATATAAATAAACAAATAAATCTTCAATAAACCGTGTGTCCGTGATTTTTTCTGTATTACAGTGTGCATACAACTGCGTCTATCATCATCTGTGATGTGCTGATAGATATGCAGTGGTGTATCATAAACGTGTCCTAAACTTTGAGGTTAAATAGTGTCCAAAAGTACTCCAATCTAAAAGAGGCAAAAGCTTGAATATGTATATCCAAGAATCTTACATAAGTTGTGTATGAAACTGGTGATCTTTGTGATACTTTAAGTGCTCAGGAGGACCTATAGAATGTGTGACAGTTTGGAGGGTTTTTAATGTTGCAAATGCTGGATGCAATTACTGTGCGGTTGAGAAATTATGTGAAATGTCGCAAAACATTTGCAGTGAGTTGCAAACATGAAAACTTTGATAGAACACTTCCAAAGAGGTGCATAATTTTGCCTGTGGCTAACAAACCAGTAAACTAGATGTCTGAGGAGCACCACAAACCAAACCCAGTTCCTGAGGGCAACATTACAAGCAACTCCTGCAATCTTTGTTCCAGCAGGGTTCGGGTACGGCCTCCAAGGCACCAATGAGGACTAGCCAATGCAGACAGCTGCTGTGAAGAAACCAGCTCAAGTAGCATACACACACTATATTGCCAAAAGTATTGAGACACTCCTTCAAAATCAGTGGATTCAGGTGTTCCAATCACCTCCATGGACACCGGTGTATAAAATCAAAAAATTGTTGGTGAAAAAATGGGTCGTTCTCAGGAGCTCAGTGATTTCAAGAATGGTACCGTGATAGGATGCCACCTGTGCAATAAGTTCATCCACTACTAAATATTCCACGGTCAACTGTTAGTGGTATTATAACAAAGTGGAAGCAACTGGGAACAGCAGCAACTCAGCCACAAAGTGGTCGGCCAAGTAAAATGACAGAGTGAGGTCACCGAATGCACAGAAGTCACCAACTGTCTGCAGAGTCAATAGCTACAGACCTCCAAACTACGTGTGGCCTTCAGATTGGGACAACAACAGTGCATAGAGAGCTTCATGGAATGTGTTTCCATGGCCAAGCAGCTGCATCCAAGCCTTACATCACCAAGTGCAATGCAAAGCTTCAGATGTAGTGGTGTAAAGCACACCGCCACTGGACTCTAGAGAGGTGGAGACGTGTTCTCTGGAATGATGAACCACACTTCTCTGTCTGGCAATCCGATGGATGTGTCTGGGTTCGGTGGTTGCCAGGAGAACGGTACTTGCCTGACTGCATTGTGCCAAGTGTAAAGTTTGGTGGAGGGGGGGATTATGGTGTGGGGTTTTTCAGGGGTTGGGCTTGGCCATTTTGGACAATGTCATGCTCCCAACTTTGTGTGAACAGTTTGGGGATGGCCCTTACCTGTTCCAACATGACTGCGCACCAGTGCACAAAGCAAGGTCCATAAAGACATGGATGAGCAAGTTTGGGGTGGAAGAACTTGACTGGCCTGTACAGAGTCCTTACCTCAACTCAATAGAACACCTTTGGGATGAATTAGAGCGGAGACTGCAAGCCAGGCCTTCTCATCCAACATCAGTGCCTGACCTCACAAATGAGCTTCTGGAAGAATAGTCAAACATTCCCATAGACACACTCCTAAACCTTGTGGACAGCCTACCCAGAAGAGTTGAAGCTGTCATAGCTCGAAAGGGTGGGCCAATTCAATACTAAACCCTACGGACTAAGACTGGGATGTCATAAGAGTTCATGTGTGTGTAAAGACAGGTGTCCCAATACCTTTGGCAATATAGTGTATTTGGTTGGGGAAAAAAAATGTTGATAGAAGCGAAAAGTAACGAAAGACAAGAACAATTCCATCAGCAGAGCTGAGGAAACAGCATCCAACTTCCTAGGACATTAACAAAAACAGAGGCAGCACAGCTGTAAAAGGGGTTGGATGGGGTTGGCTTTCAACATTTTTTTTTTCCATTTGCCAGTGTCCATCTACTAAAGGTAGCTGCATAACCCTTGAGAAGTAGCCTATGATAACAACTTCTCCAGTGTAGGCTGATTCTCAAGTCACTCACTTCCAAGCAAAGCTCTACAGTTTGTAATGCTAAATAAGTTGCATTTGTTAAGGCAATTAAGATTTCCTGTGTTCTTCCTATTTCCTAAACTATTAAAACTAAAGAGAAAGCAGATTGCAGTAGATGTGTGTGGGAATATATGAGAGGTTTTCACTGCTGCTTCAGCAAAATGCAAACAATATCATTCTCCAAGTGATATATATAATCTTACCCCTATTATACTGAGGCCCTTGAGATATTCTTGACGAGGTTGAGCCTGAGGGACACATCCAGCCAAAACAACTTTTTTATTTTCATCCTGTGCCTTTCTACAAAAAAAAAAAACAGAAATAGGTAAGCATTTAAATCAAAATGAAGAGTAAGTCCTTGCTGTCAATGCATGAAATCATGTTAACAAGTACACTAATGTCGAGGAACAAATGAATCCATCTTATGTAAGAATCTGCAGACAACTTTCTTTTTTTATCACCTCCATAGTTACAGTTCTAGAGCTGATAATTTCAGCTGAATATTTTTCCAATTACAAGAAAATAGTACTTAAACAATTTCAGCAAAGTGTCATGCATTGCAGATAATGAAAAGATGGGTTTTATGAAAATTCAGACGTGTCCAGACATATGTGCATTGTGTTTTTCCCACAGCTTATTAGCGAGGCTTTATTTAATCAAAAGGGGCAAATACAGTACAGAGGAGAAATCCATGAAGTCGTGTGGGAAGTACATGCAATGGATAGTCAACCTACATTTGACTAGAGCAGAACTGTCAAAATATCGCTTGTAGCACTGCAGTACCATTACCATCCACTTTCAGTCCCAGCACCTGGTCTGGACTGACATAGTAGGTTTCTGCTACATTGACTACTACAATTCAAGCAATGTGCGGAGGCTGGAAATGTGCTTTAAAAAGGAGAACTATGAGGTGAGTGCTTTTCACTCACCTCATAGTTCTAACCGACCTGTGACAATGAGACTGTCACAGGTCGGCTCAGTACATCGAGAAGTGAGCTAACACATACCGGCATTCGCTCACCTCGCGATCCTGTCACGGCAGATAGCCGTGACAGGGGAAGGGCTGGATTCCCCCCGCTCCGATCCGCCAGCGCTGACTGGCGGGTCGGACAGGAGAGGGGGCGGGTACAGCTGGCTCTGCCTCTAGATAGGCAGAGCCAGCAGTCACTCACGCAGCTGGGCTGATCCAGACAATTGTCGGGATCCGCTTCAGCTGCGGCGTCTCAGTATACCGCGAGCTTTAAAAAAATGAGGAGCTGACATTTTAAAATGTACCTACTTTTCTTACAATGAAGAGCCAATAACTAGTAAACAACATGTAAATCCAGCAAACAGTAAAACCAGTGATGTCAGTGACCTGGGCGGGACTGGATAGAGAGCCGCTGACAGCACGGTTCTAACACAGTTGACTGTCGTATCGCATCCGGCACAAAGCAAACCCGCACTAGAGGCCACACCCCCAGGCACTATCAGGAGCACCCACCGCCACACCCCAATTCCCCTTCACTGTACTGCCTCAGGCGGCAAGGCCCTGGAGCTACCCCTGCATTGCCAGGGTCAACTGCTCATATTGGTCTAGGGACTAAGATTTAAAAAAAATACTCATCTGATCCTCAATCCTGATCTAGCAGCCATCCTCATCCTGATGCCTGGCTGCTAGACTGGGCCCACAGGCTCTTCTCCTCCAGGCTCTAATGACCGGTGAGACATCATGTCTAGTACAATGCATTCGATTTGATGATGCCAAGTGACATTTGACCGCTGGAGCGTAGGGGGAGTGGGGTGAGTGGCAAGGTAAATCATCTTTATTCTGTCCAACGAAAAACGAACAGTTAAACCTTGCCCCACTGCAAGGGTTCATTTTTATTCTGATACCCGATTGCCCCTTCCCTCCTCATCCAGTCACAGAATGTCTTGTATTATGTGAAAAAATACAATGCTTTTTGTGAATGGGTAGAAGCCGTAGTCATCCGCTTTTACTTCTCTTATTACTAGGGGTAAATTACTTGCACTGTTTTTACAATATTTAGACCCCCCCCCCACGCCCCCATATCACTATATAATCTCTAATGCAAGATACATAGTTATCAAAAGAATAAAGGTGCCTTACAACCCAAGTGTCTACCAGTCCAGTCTAGGGGAAAAAATTCTGAAGTGGCAGGATGTTTAACAATTTTCTTTAGGACAAGCTTTTTTGAAACCAAATTTCAAACACTTTTTTTTTTTCTTTTTATGAAAACAAAAAATGTGAGTCCAATCTTAAAAAAAATAAAAAATAAAAAGGAATCCTAGATCTGTTCAAAATTTTAATTGGATCAAGTATCTGCTGTGGTACAATAATGTATTTGAAAACTATTAAAGTAAATATATGAAAGCTTTTTGAAACAACTCCGGGACAAATGTTAATTGCCTCTGTAGAATATGACTGCACAATCCTAACTCTAGATTTAATGCAAACTTGCCACCTAGTGGTCAGCAGGAATTGTACATTAATGACTGTCAAAAGGTTCCACTCTTCTTGACAATCATCATACTTGGGTTCACTCTAGGCCACTGTTAAAATTTATTATGCATTAAAGCACTGAGTAAAATGAGCCATTATGTTCAATGTTATTAAAAGAAACAAAACAAAAACCATGGCCGGCAGCCAGAAGTTAGTGAACCTGAAACAGCTTTCCGATTACTACAAACCATGTCTAGGATCTCGGCTTCTACCACAGCTAGGCACCAACAAGGTTTACAAAAAAAACAGCAGCACATGTACTTTGCCAGGCTATGCCAGTGATCTGTCACATGGGAGTATTAACACTTTCAGTACTTTTTTTCTATAATCTGAGACAAAAACAGAGTAACTGTTCTGCCTTTATTTTTCTTCATGCAATAGTTTTAAAAGAACCTTGTTTTATATAAAAACCAATATTCCGTACAGACTGCCTCAATATATCCTGGTGTGATCCTAAACTCCAAAAACAGAATCTAACATAGGAAAACACTGAATGAAGTCTGTTCTGTCAGTCCATCATACAGTCGATCATACAGTCGATCATACAGTCGATCATACAGTCCATCATACAGTCCATCATACAGTCCATCATACAGTCCATCATACAGTCCATCATACAGTCCATCATACAGTCCATCATACAGTCCATCATACAGTCCATCATACAGTCCATCATACAGTCCATCATACAGTCCATCATACAGTCCATCATACAGTCCATCATACAGTCCATCATACAGTCCATCATACAGTCCATCATACAGTCCATCATACAGTCCATCATACAGTCCATCATACAGTCCATCATACAGTCCATCATACAGTCCATCATACAGTCCATCATACAGTCCATCATACAGTCCATCATACAGTCCATCATACAGTCCATCATACAGTCCATCATACAGTCCATCATACAGTCCATCATACAGTCCATCATACAGTCCATCATACAGTCCATCATACAGTCCATCATACAGTCCATCATACAGTCCATCATACAGTCCATCATACAGTCCATCATACAGTCCATCATACAGTCCATCATACAGTCCATCATACAGTCCATCATACAGTCCATCATACAGTCCATCATACAGTCCATCATACAGTCCATCATACAGTCCATCATACAGTCCATCATACAGTCCATCATACAGTCCATCATACAGTCCATCATACAGTCCATCATACAGTCCATCATACAGTCCATCATACAGTCCATCATACAGTCCATCATACAGTCCATCATACAGTCCATCATACAGTCCATCATACAGTCCATCATACAGTCCATCATACAGTCCATCATACAGTCCATCATACAGTCCATCATACAGTCCATCATACAGTCCATCATACAGTCCATCATACAGTCCATCATACAGTCCATCATACAGTCCATCATACAGTCCATCATACAGTCCATCATAAAGTCCATCATAAAGTCCATCATAAAGTCCATCATAAAGTCCATCATAAAGTCCATCATAAAGTCCATCATAAAGTCCATCATAAAGTCCATCATAAAGTCCATCATAAAGTCCATCATAAAGTCTTTTTTTTTCTCCAAATTTTTAATGCAAGCCCCAGTTGCAAAGCTTGGCAGTGCTGTTGGGCTCTGTATGCGATATACTGTATTCCAAATAAGACTTATTTGGTGGCCTATGGGGCAAAGTGCTGGTCTGAACAGCAGTACATTTCAGACCTCTTAGAGATGATGATGACCCAGGCCATACTAAATGATTAACCCCAGGGCCTAACTATGACAGAATACTTTGTATGCCTTTAAGGGCTTGGTGACTGGTGGGGTTAGGTGGCAGAGGCTGAGCCTAAAGGGTAACCTCACGGGAATAGAAGGCATGCTTAATAAATCACTATGTGTGCATTCACCTTATGTGCATGAAAATGTGTTTAGTGCAACCCTGCCCCTCAAGGCTGTCAAGTGTTTTTGACAGCATTGAGTGAAGCTATCTCAGTAGGGCCCTGGACAAGTTTCACTCCTCCGCGCTGGACTGGCGTTTCTGGGTTCCGGCCTCCTACTCTGCCGCCGGACCAGTGCTGCTGGGGCCTGGCCTCCTCTCCCGCCATGAGTGGGCTGGGGGGGCCCAAGCCACCCAAACTGCCCGGGCCCCTTACATGGGTAGCGGCCATACCCCCCTGACAGCAGCCCTGCCCATAGAGAGGGAAGTCTATATAACTCACAATTAAGTACTCTGGAATACAGACAACACAGGAAAAAAGTGAAAAGTGACAAATGAGTGGTTGCGCTAATGCTCTGGACCTGGAAAGCACTCTGTGGCTAACACACTACACAAAAGGTCTGGAAAGAGCAAACAAAACCTAGAGCTGAAAGCTAAATTCCTGGCAGGCCCCACAATCTGGTCCAGTGCGGTCAAGTTCAGCCACCAAAACTATTGCTGAGAATATGCTGATCAGGATAACTGCATAAAGAGCCCAGCTCAGCAGCATGTACATTAAGTGTTGATTGAAGAAAAAAATAAGTCTCTAAAAAAGAGACAATTAAAAGGTGGTAAAATGATTCTCAAGAGAAAGGATTTCCATCCTCCTAGGACACTAGCAAAATAATAAAGCAGGATGGAGCGGAAGGGGTTATACCTGGCTGCTCAATTGTTTTTTTTGTTTATTGCCTCCTAGAGGCGGCAGTATAACTTAATTATCTCTGAATAACTGAAACCTGTGTCACTGAATTAGAAAGAAAGGAATTACTATGGCCACAGCTGAATGGAGCCAGTTGAGGGGACTGACACAGGTTGAAACAATGGCAACAGTCACA